AAAGTTTAGCGTACCGTAAACCGGGGTAACTTTGGCCAGCGGGGTAACTTTGGCCAGCGGGGTAACTTTAGCCATATTTAAATATTTTAATTAAACATCTCTAACTTTTAAACAGTTAAATAACTATTTTTGTTTTATTTGTAAATGCAACTTAAATTTTGATCTGAAGTTTGCTCTTTACTATAAGTAAAAAAGTCTTTGGCTCAAGAACCAACATACTGGTTTTTTTTTACTGGGTGGTAGCGTATTTTTTTTTTGTTTATTGTTTATTTTGCCGCGGCGGAAAACTTATGATCTTTTTTGTTTTATTAAAATAAAACAAAAAAGATCCTAAGTTAGTATTTAAAATTTTTAAATAAATTATGCGTGACTTTTTTTATGGACGATCCAAACTCAGAATTTTGAGTAAAACTCTTTTAGAGCGCTTTGCATCCTTTTTTGTTGTTGTTGTTGTTGTTGTTGCTGTTGTTGTTGTTGTTGTTGTTGTTGTTGTTGTTGTTGTTGTTGTTGTTGTTGTTGTTGTTGTTGTTGTTGTTGTTGTTGTTGTTGTTGTTGTTGTTGTTGTTGTTGTTGTTGTTGTTGTTGTTGTTGTTGTTGTTACTTTTGTCATTAAACTCATTGACACATACAAAAAAAGTAGACCGGCAATATTTCCAAGGAACGTGTCTCAACTAACTTAAAATTATAAATTTTTGACTGCAAAAAATCACCAAGACAACTTTGTTAATGAGCAGTAAACAAGTCTACAAGTACATTCTAGTGCATACCTATGCTCTTGGTGTGACATTTCATTAAATGATCTTGCTAAGTTAAAATCTCTAAGAACTTTTGGATTAATCTGGAGAGATTATCAGACATTCAATGCGGCTAGTGCTAACATCAAGAAAGCAAGTTTATTCAAAAGCTCTGTTCATGAACTCATCATCATTGCCTGAGATGAACCTTTTATTCTTGATATTCAGAGTCTCCTATTTACAACTTCAGGACACCTCCATCACTTCCAAGGTTCATGCTGTCATTCACCATGTTCCAAAATTCATCCAACGCCACAATAGCTCTTTGAATTTTTGAAAAAAATTTGATTCTTTGGGAATTTATTCAGAGCAAGCAACTGAAGCGCCCCATCATCTTTTTAATAACAATTGGCAAAAACACAAAAGACCAAGCAACCATCCAGAATACAAAGACAGCTTGCAAAGATGCACTTCAGACATTAGCAGCAAAAAATTTGATTAGGAATATATACAAATCACTTTACGTTTTTCTCAAGAAATAACAATTAGAATTGAAACATTACTTTATACGAATTAATAAAGTAGTTATCTACCTATGAATTTACTGCAGAATTATTTATGTTATGTTTTTGAGATGAATAAAAATTCTTAAAACTATTTTTGTTAGATACTTATCAGCTTTGTATTTAAAGGGATTTTATGCAAAATATAATAAACGGATTTTCTTCCACGGACCAGGTGTAATCAGAACTTTTAATCTTTTTAATCTTTTAAACTTTTTTTTTTTTTTTTTTTTTTTTTAACATGTTTATTTTACTTTTGGAACTTATAATCTAGTAATCACCAATGATAGTAAAATCATTCCCCCAAAGAATTTTTCTGTGTCATGACATCATGCAATATTTCATTTTTTTACAACAGCGAGCATCTTTTTATAGCTTACAAGACTCTGCTTCAAATATTGTTCTGATGTAGCATCTAACAGAACTTTGTGTTCAATACTCATTGAGGTAAAATTATTACTGTATAAAATATCCATTTAAGAGTAACTTTACACATTATGACTCCCAACATTATTAATTTTTTTTGACGAAAATAATAATTTTTACCTCAAAACAGGACTCAGCAACTAAACTAACAAAACAAAAACCTGATATTAGCTTGTCAAAATTTTTTTTTGAAAGAATAAAACTAACTTGTTTTGTTTGTTCTATTCTTTTAAAAAGAAAGAATAGAACAAACAAGAAGACATGACTCGCCGTTTAAATAAAAGTCGCCGTTTAAAATAAAGTCCCTGAACAAATTTCATAAGTATTAAAAATATAAAATTTTGTTCACTATAAAAACTGAAAGTTAAAATAATAAATAAAATATTTTTCATTTTTAATATAAGAAATCATAAATATATCTTTAAATCCTTATTTCGAGCAATAAAAAAATCAAAAAATTAGTTTAAAAAAAACAAAGAAATTAATAAATTAAAAAATAAACAGCAAAAAAAAAAAAAAAAAAATTAAAAGCTAAAAACATGATTATTCAAAAAAAGTAATCATCTAAAACACTTTTTGTTCCTGGCTTCTAAGTGTTAAATGTCAATTGCTTTTGTTAAAAAATGACTTCATTGAACACAAATTTGCTTACACGACAGCAGCACAAAGAAAACTTGTTTTTTTGTGAAAATATAACAATTTTTTTTCATTTTCGTCATTATGATCAAGTAAAAACAAAAACAGCACAAGAAGCAGACAAACGCAGTCGATGTTTATATTTTCTAGATTAACAATTGTAATGTAAATCACTCTCTCGAAGTAGCCCCTAAATGTAGTTCCTCATTATGTTTTCGTTATACTGTCTTTAAGAGCGACGTAAAAAGTAGAGGTGTACCGGATATTTTTGCCGGATATGCCGGATATTGAACTTTTCTAAAGCTCTATAAGTCTTTATGAAGAAAAAACAAGTCTTGCCAGTCTACAATAAATAGTATTCAAGATCTTACTTTAAAAAATCAAGACAAAAACTGTATGACATGGGATATGCGCTGACGAAGTATAGAAAATAGTAATAAAAAAAAAAAATTTGGCTGTAAAAACGATTTTTCCTTATACATTATTAACGCATATACATGTGTTATACCAGTTTTTTATTGATTTTATTTTTTTAAATCTTGAACACTATTTAAAATGGAATGGCAAGGCTTGTGTTTTCTTCATAAACACTTATAGAACTTTAGAAATGTTTAATATCCGGCATATCTGGCAAAAATATCCGGTACACCTCTAGTAAAAAGTTAAGTATACCTTCATGAAAGCGCTCGCCTTGCTCCTTGAAATGATAGTCTTACTTTTTTATAATTAGGGGAAAGCGGGGCAACATGGCGAATGGGGTAAGATGGGTTTTCATATAACAACTCAACAAAAAATCTTAAAATTGGTTAAAAACAAAACTGTATTTGCATCTTGTATTTTAAAACACCAATTGGTTTTTTGAAATATTATCAACGCAATTTTATACGCATAAGTTTACTTTTTGCGCTTAAAAAAAATTCCTTACTTTCGGTTTCTCATAATGGATGGTGTCCTTTAAGTTTAACTTCTTTAGAAGTAGTTTTTTTGCGATTTATGTTTATTTTGTGTTACTTTAGTTAGATTTTTTGTTAGTTTTTAAAATTTTATAAAATTGGATGTAAAAATTGCATAATAAGTCATCTTGCCCCGGTCACGTGATCAGATAACAAATTTATGAACTTTTTATTTTATTATTTATTTCAAATTGTTATATTTACAAACTGAAAATTCATGCAGGCAATGAAGGATTTTGATAACATAAACATACTGAGAAAGTTTTATTGCTTCACGACTGATAGTTTTGCAATAACTCAGGGCTTTCAAAACGTTCGCCATGTTGCCCCGCTTTCCCCTATAGTAATGTTCGGAACAATGAATTCTGAACTGGAAAACTTTAGTTTATGGTTAAGAGCAAATTAACTGTCAATGAACATTTTATAAATAAATTTTTTTGTGTTGATACTTTTTTTATTATAAGAAGTCTTAACAAAGAGCACCGCGGATGAGCATTTAATTGGAAGTTCACTCCCCAACTTTAAGTTATACTATAAGTAGTACTTTAAGTTTAAACTTTAAGTATAAGAAACGGGCTGAATGAAAAAATGAAAAAAGAAACGGGCTGAATGAAAAAATGAAAAAAGAACGAGAGTTTGATATTTATCTCTTAATTTATTAAGAAAAATCGATTTTCCGGGATAGGAAACCAAAAGCAAGCAACCCAAAAAAAAAATCTCCTAAGTGTTTTTAACTTTAGGTTATTTACCTTTTATTTTTTTTATTTTACCTTTTATTTACCTTTACCTTTTTTTATTTTACCTTTTATCTACCTTTTATTTTATTTTTATTTACCTTTTATTTTTTTTATTTTACCTTTTATTATCTTATTTTATTATACTTAAACTAAGTGGAGAAAAATTTCATTACTAAACTCTTAATCCTTTTTGAAAATGAAACGAACATTTATGATAATGAAACTTTTTGATCTTTTAAGAAAAAAGTTTAGAATACTTTCAGAATGTGTACAACTTCTTCAACTAGATGAGTTTAGAACATTAGTATCAGAAGAATAATAATTTCAAAAAATTTTAAATATTTTTAAAAATATTTCAAGATAAACTTAAATACGCTTTTAAAGTAATTTGCATTGCGGATTCATGATGCAAAAAATGATAAAACAGTTTAACAATTTGAAGTAAATAACTACGTTTCAATTCATCAACAACGAGAATTTAAAACAATTGGAGGCGTGAGTATTTATGTTCACAATTCTTTGTTTTACTTACTCGCTTGCCTTAATGCAAATGGTGGGGTGGGGGTAGAGTCGGGGAACAAAAAAGGAAGGGGAAATGATAATTTTAGTAAAAATCTAATTAAAATATTATCTTTTTTTGTTTTGATATTAATTTTTTGTCGTTAACAAATAAAAATTATAAACAAGGCTGGAAAGCTTTGAATCTTCAAAAGCTTAGAATCAGTGGTAGCGTTTTTCGAAAATTAATAAGCGTTTCCACCCCCTCCCCCCATCCCTTGCATTAAGGACTCGAGAGTAATGATATTTGCCTAAATGAAATATATTGTGAGTCGTTATGCAGTGAATGTTGTTATACAAAAAAAAAAAAAAAAAAAAAAACACAATTATTAAGAATATATATATAAAACAATCTGCTATTTTTAAAAAGGTTAAAGATCATTTAAAAAAATTCTAACCAAAGAGAATTAAACGCGGAAGCATGTTTACAATAATTCGACCTAAACACTAATATAATAAATCATTCATCAAGAAAAAATGTTAAACATTCTAATTTTTTACCTTTTTCTAACGGAACGCACTCTTGTCAAACCCCTATTCTGACGTTGAGCGTCCTTTGCGTCCGCGAACTCGTGTTTCTAGGAAAAGGGCAAAACGGGGTATATAGGCATTTGCGCAGCGGTGCGCACATACACCAACTAATTTTTAGAGAGAACATGCAGCGGAGTGTGTAAACAACGGCTGAGGGTTTGGGGTGGGTAGGTTCTCTTTTAAATGAAGAAGTCGTTTTTTTACATTTTCGGAGCTTAAGGACAGCGTCGGAATAAGGGTTTGACAAGAGAGCCTACCTTTTCTAACAATAAACATGGCAACAAGAATAACCAAAAACTCCTCCACTTTTCTTGATAACATTTTTTTTTTTCATTACTTTTTAGGTTCCCCAAAAAGACCAAACAGTCTTGTCACAGAACACCGCAGAATTGCATTTAACCAGAAAGTTCATGCATCCTTTCTTACCGTGACGCGAAAAAAAGTCCAAGGCTTTTTTTGGACCTGAATCTCCTGCTTATAAAACAAGCGCTCTAATTACTGCGCCACGACCGTACATAACTTAATAACGAATAACTTTGTGATGACCAGCTGCATAGTGGTATAATCAAGAGTGACCTTTCTGATCATTTATCTTTATTCTCAGTTTCCAATTCCATAATACTTAGTGGATATGCATCTAAAAAAAATATTTACAGGCAACTGATGAATAAAAATTCTCACAAAGTTTATAAAACATTTTTAAAAAATTGAGCGTTTTTTATTATTTTTGGGATCTTATTTAAAAGTCGCAAGAGGTTAGTTATGTATACGATTTATTTTTTAAACGGTTCTGCAAGTTATACGAAACAGCGTTTTGGGAAAAAAAGTTTGTCATTGAAACCAAGTCTCTTCAAACCCTACGACTATCTAACAAAGAACAACATGCTGTATAAAAAACAATTTGGTTTCAAAAAATGCATTTAACTAAACACGCCGTAGACGAGCAAGTCAACAAGATGTCTGAAGCTCTAAATAACAATAATTATACATTAGGAGTTTTCATTGATCTAAAGTCTTTGATAAAGTAAACCATGAATACTGCTAACTTAATTTAAAAACTATGGCAGTAGAAGCAAAAATTTACTTTGGTTCAAAAACTACTTAACAAACAGAAAACAATTCATATGCTAAGTAACAGGTAAATACTGTGGAATTCCACAAGATCCTGTTATATAAAAACATGCAATAAATTATTTTTTTTTTAATTTTTTTTTTAGTGTAATTTATTTCGCCGTTAAAAAATGTTTACATTGCATATACATTTATATAAATTGATGGCTGGAGCAAGAAGAAGGCACATTTCGCCTTATCGCCGAGCCCCATTAAAAATTCTACATAACCGTAACATACAAATATATATATAAAAGAAACAATTAGAAATGAAATAGAAAATAACTAATATAATAAAAAAATTAAAAAATAAGAATTAATTAAAAAGCGTTAAGATGCTTAACAGTTGCTAAAATGTTTAAGAAATAAGTTAATATAAAAAAAAAAAAAAAAAAAAAAAAAAAAATTCCTAAATATAAAAGAAATTGAAAAAATAAAATCTCATAATTAACACTAAATGAATATGTAACACCATCACTTATGACATCATCACTTGTGACATCATCACTTGGATTTCTTATTCTTTTTTTTTTTTTTTTTTTCTTTTTTTTTCTTTTTTTCCTTTTTCTTTCTTTTCTTATTCATATTATCATATATCATTGATATAATTGAATCTGTTTTTTTTTATTTTTTTTTATTGTGTTTACTTTAAAATAAACATTTAAAGTCGGATATATTGAGATCCATGAACAATAATAATCGTTTTGATTCATCCTTAAATTGCTCTAATGTAGTCTGCTTTTTGTTAACAATATCTGGAAATTTCTTCCACAGATAAGGTCCGCGGTATTTAATTGAATAGGAAGTTAATTTTAATTTATGTTTTGGAACAACAAAATTGTTTTCTGAAAACTTTGTTGAGTACCTATAGTTAATTTTATTAAAATAAGATTGAAATATTTTAGGAGACAATTCCTTTTTTGTTTTAAACATAAACAATAAAACTTGGTGTAAATTGAGTTTATATACATTTAAAGCACCGAGCACACTTAGAAGTGGTTCGCAAGGAACATTTCTGTCGGCTCCAAATACTATTCTACATGCATGTTTTTGTATATTGTAGAGTTTCTTTAGTTTTGTATGGCTAGTACTAGCCCACACAACATTACAATAAGACAAATAACTGTGAATAAAGGCGAAATATAATTTTTTCAGAGATGATATATTTAGAAAGGGTTTAGCCCTAAACATCATTGCAATATTTTTTGAGATTATTTTTTTAATGCTATTTATATGTGAACACCATTTTAAATTTTCATCCAGTTTTACTCCTAAAAAGTTTATGTAAGATTCCCTTTTAATATAAGTTTTATTAATATTAAGATCTGGTAATTTAAGAGGAATATTTTCTGATTTATTTACTTTATGGAAAAGCATATATTTTGTTTTTTCCGCATTTAGTGAAAGTTTATTACTTACGAACCATGCACTAAAATTACATAACTGTTCGTTAACTATTTTAAAAAGCGATTTAATATCTCTGTGAGAACAAAAAAGATTTGAATCATCAGCAAATAAAACTAGGTCTAAAAGATTTGTTGATAGGTATAAGTCGTTTATGTACAATATAAATAAAAGTGGTCCTAAAATAGAACCCTGAGGAACCCCGCAAGTTATGGAGTGTGGAATTGTATTATTTTGATTATAGTATAAAAATTGCTTTCTGTTAGTCAGATAATCTTTGAACCAAAGTAAGTTTTTATTTTTTACACCGTATTTTTCGAGTTTTTTTATTAGTATATAGTGATTTACGGTATCAAAAGCTTTTGACAGATCAATGAAAACTCCTAATGTAAAACAGTCATTATCTAAGGCATTAGATATTTGATTGGAAAGTTCAACTACTGCGTGTTCAGTGGAATTTTTTTTTTTAAAACCAAATTGTTTACAATACAACATGTCGTTCTCAGTTAGATGATTATAAAGTCTGTTATACATTATTCTCTCTAGCAATTTTGAAAAACAAGGTAAGATTGATATAGGCCTGTAATTTAAAATATTTGACTTATCTCCAGATTTAAAAATTGGTGTTATACGGGCAATTTTTAATTTATTAGGAACAATACCTGACTTTAATGAGAGATTGAAAATGTGAAATAAAGAAGGTTTAATGACTTCAAATACTGATTTGACAACATCAACACTAATTTTATCAAAACCTTCACTTTTTTTACTTTTGAGACTGCTAAATGCAGTTCTCAACTCACTCAGTTTTAAATCAGTTTCATCCATAAGTTTATCATAAGTTTTTAAGTATGAGTCAAATGGAATGGAATTAGTAGAAATTTTAGCAGCCAAATTCGGGCCAATATTAACAAAGTAGTTGTTTAGTTCTTCAGCTATAATTGATTTTTCATAAACTAATTCTCCATTAATTAAAAGATTTTTTGGCAGAGTGCTTTTGTTATAATTATTTTTTCCAATTAAATCCTTAATTAAATTCCATATTTTTTTAGTGTTTCCGTTGGTTTTCTTTAATAATTGATCATAAAATAGTTTTTTTGAGTATTTTTTGATTTTTTCAAATATATTTTTATAATTTTTTTAAGTTATTTCATTTTTATAAGTTTTTTTTTTAAGATATTTTATATATAATTTTTTTTTCTTTTTTGAAGATTTTAGTAAGCCTTTAGACATCCAGGGAGCTTGAAGTGACTTGGTATTTATGACTTTTTTATTTCTGGAAACGCTACTTCATATTGTTTGCAAAATTGATCAAGAAACAAGTCATATGCATTGTTAGCCTCATTTGATTGCAGTACTAGATTCCAATCAACACAATTTTTTAAACAATTTTTAAATTGTTTTAAGGATTTTTTATTGATCTGTCGCCGAATTATTATGGATTTTGTGGAAATATTGTTAATTAAAATGTTATTTGTAGCTAAGAATGTAGGAAAATGATCCGATAAATCGGTCTGGATTATACCTGTGTAAAGAGGGTTATTATGAAAGTTGTTAGTTATGATGTTATCAAGTAGAGTAGAAGACCTATTTGTTATTCTTGTTGATTTGTTTATTGTTGGGATAAAGTTATATTGTAGAAGAGTATTTATAAAATTCTTAGTATTATTATTTGAAGCATAGTTGATCAGGTTTATGTTAAAATCCCCCACCAAATAAATATGTTTTCTCGAATTTGTAATTTTGTTTAGAAATGTTTTAAGATGAGTTTTAAATTTCTTTAAGTTTCCAGATGGTGGTATTTATAATTATGTTTTTTTCTTTATTATTTACTAATTCGACGCACAATGATTCATAATCTGTTTCATTGACGCAGAGATCGTTACGTAAAATATAATTAACTGAATTATGGATAAAAATACTAACGCCCCCACCCGCATTAACTTCACGCGGTTGGTGAATTGATGTGTAATTAACTAGTTCAAATTCATAATTTGTTTCACCGCATTTACACCAAGTTTCCGTCAAACATTTAATTTTAAAATCGTGTTTAATTTCATCCAATAAAATTTTTAAATTTTCAAAGTTTTTATTTAAACTTCGAATATTGATATTTAAAATTGAAAAAGTGTTTTTAGTTTGTCCTAGATATTGCGAAGATTCAGAAACTGAGTAGTATTGACTTTCTAGCATTTTGTGATTAAAATAATTAGAGTCGGTGTCATTATCACCGATAATGTCATTTTCATTAGAAGATTTAAATATGACATTTTCCTCCATTTTTAAAACAGTTTAATTAAATATGCATAGTAATAATAAAAATAAAATTGCGTTAATTAATGCCAAATATTATCAGGATAAATTTTTGCTTTTCTTTGCAACCCAATCGCGAATTATCAATTTATCATAAGATATGAAGGCAAACTTACCAGCGGCTCGTTCAATTTTCATTTTCTCCCTCAAATTTTTTCTGATTTGTGTTGTTTTAAAACAGAAGTCTTCGTTTATATAAATGTTTTTCCCTTTTAGCTTACTCGACTTGCTCAAGATCGCAACTTTATCTCTAAAATCTAAAAGTTTTATCACTATTGTCCTCAGCATTTTTAATTTTTTGTTTCCAGTTCTATGGGCCCGTTCAATTTGGATATTTTTAACTGATAATATATCTTCAAAATTTTTTTTTACCTTCATTTCGCTTTCTTCCCAGCTTTCACCTTCATTTTCATCAATTCCATCTACTCTTAAATTGTTACGTCTAGATCGATCTTCCAATTCCCTTAACTTTTTTTGTATACTTTCTGAATTGTCTTCTTTACTGCAAACCTTTGCTTTCTTAACTTTTTCAACAATTAGTTGTTCATGAAAGTTTAAACTAAGTTTCAAATCTTCGATGTCTTTTTCTACTTTTTTCAACCTGCCATTAAATATTTTCAAGTTTCCACTAATAATATCAATAAAAACTTTTTCTTGTTGTTTTAACATCAACTCAAATTCTTTTTTGTAGTCCTCAAACAATTTTGTTATTTCTAATAATGTCACAGCCATATTATAAAAAAAAAAGATTTGTATTTTAGAAAAATAAATGTAAAGTAATTTCGCTTTAATAAAGTCGTTTAAAAAAAAACACGTCCGATCGCGTTGAAGTTGCGGCTTTTTTTTTTTTTTTTTTTTTTTTTGTTAGATTTATGTCTTTTAAAATATTATAAATATTTTCCAGTTAGATTTACGTCTTTTAAAATCTTACGTCTTTTAAGAAGACTTAATATTTTATTACCTAGTACCATTTTTAAAAAATGGTAATAAAATAATAGAATGGTAATAAAATATTATGTCTTCTTCTTGCTCCAGCTATTTATTTTATTGTATATGTTTGTATATGAAAACTGTAATTATAGTGAGCTAAACAAACTGAAAAAAACACACCTAATATATAACGTCTCCATTTTTTGTAAAAGTTTTTTATTTCTTTAACGGAATATTTTCAAAACTTATATTAAACAATACAAAATACCATTTACTTTATATATTCACGTTTTAAAACAAAATATTTGTAAATTACAATTTAATAAAAATGGTGCTTGGTGATAAGACTAAGTATGGTGATAAGACTTAATTATGTCCTTTTCTTTTTTTTGCTTTTTTTCTTGTACCAGCTTTTTATTTTATTGTATAAAAAACTGTATACGATAATGTACGAAATGATACGAAACTGTATACGTAACACCTAATACGATTTCTACATTTTTGAGGGAGATTTTTTTATTTCTTTAACAAAATAGAAAAAAGACAAGTATTTTTTTGAAAACCTAGCGGCTTAGAATAAAATTATTTTCTTTAAAATAAGTATATCACCTATTAAACTCTCTATTTCAGAGAATGTTGAATAAACTGTTATTGATCTGAAAAAACCTATTTCACTTGTATCTCCTGATTTCAATATAGGTTTTACTTTCGGAATTTTCAGTTTCTCAGGAAAAATAACTTCTTTAGGATATTGTTTAAGTACTATAAATAAAGTAATTTTAAGCTCATTGTCATGTTGGTATTGACATTGTCGACTCCGGTTGCGTTGTTTCTTTTAAGGAACTTTGAAAAGTCTTATCAACCTCTAAGCTGATTAGTTTTTTATTAATTAACTCGTTTTTCTCATGACCTGATTATTTCTCAAAAAAAATTATTTACACTAAGATTTTGAAGCTCAAGTTTAGATAATATTTTAACAAAGAAGTTGTTAAACTTGTTTATAAATGAATTTAACAACTTTATTGTAACAACACTGGATATAGTGTTGTTTTCATTATCAATCAATTTGAAAGTGATTGTTATAGTTTTAATAAAGCATAGTTTTGATTTACTAGCAATATAATTTATGTTTCCCCACCCTGAACGAAGGTAAATTTTCTCGTCATGCATAAATGTTACTGTCCTGAATATAGTTTTTTTTGGACCAATCCATTTTGAAGATTGTGGCAACAATCTTTGTACTGGGACTTTTTTATATAGCAACTGATTAATTTTTCTCTGAAAAATATTCAGAAAATTTAGTATCTTTTTTTTCTGGATTTTGTTTAACACTTGAAGAGCACAGGGAACAGTGGGCCATGTGCAGCGCCCTCCCTAAGAAATCTGGAAGAAAAAGGGAAGGGTGAGAATCTGTTTGTTTTTTTTTACTCTTGTTGGTAAATTTTCGCTGACTGCCGACTACACACAGATCTAATTTTTCCGAATCTAGTTTCACAATGAAAAAGGTAACTATATTACAATTGTCAAAAAAACGAAACTTTTCCAATTCTCAACTTCATATCGGGGTCCTTATTTTTACAAAAAACTAAAAAAGAAAAATAAATCAATTAGTAATCCAGATAATCAAAATTCTTTGAAAACAAAGTTGAAAAGTTTGATACTGATTTAAACAAATTCTTTGAATTTTTCTAACATACTTTAAATTAAACTACATATATATCAACTACAAAGTGATCTGACTCGTTTATGTGTATTAACTAAACGACTCTCCTCTTTTTTAAACAATACACTCGTTTTTTTCAACTAAACAGAAAAAAAAAACCAATGATTTTTTTTTCATAGCAATTTTATTCATCATGCTCCATCTTGTTATGTTTAATTTTTATCTTGAGTTTATAATATTAAAATTTACTTGTACTTAATAAATTTAAACATCTGAAACTCACATGGGAAACTAAACATTCAACTTTTGTCTTACTATATATATATAACTTTTGTATTACTATAATAATACATAATGTTGATGTAATAATACAAATGTTGATGAAAAAATTTCAAACTTTTAGCTGTTGTTCAAACTCTTATTCAATCTGGAATCCGGTTTGCCCACCCAAGTCCATTTTCTTATATATATAAATTATTGGCAGTCCCTACCTTAACTTATTTTTTTTTTTTTTTTTTTTTTTTTTTTTTTTTTTTTTGTCTTTTATCAAAGCTTTACAAATACGTGATCATAAATATAAACTAGTTCGTTTACATTGTATAAAAAAAATACTTATGGTATGGGGCTATGTGAAAATAATTCTGCTTTGATAAAAAGGCTAGATGTAATTGGAAGGAGTGCACTAAAATTGCTTTTAAATGTTTTAAAACACAGAAAGAAGTAAACAAATTTACTATTTAAAATGCAGGAAATTTCAAAAGGCATTCAACAAAATAATTAAACTCGTTTTTTTGTCTTCGTAATAATAAAACAACTTCAGACATTATCGTTTTACAACTGAAACACCCGTTGTTTCTAAAATATGCTCAATTTTCAAAATTTAATTCAAATAAAAAAGAAGTTAAAAATAGCACTTTCTAAAAGAAATTGAAAATTGAAATTCTCTCCGAAGTTGAACAAACTTTGAAATATGCAATAGAGTGCTAATTTTCTTCGTATGTATTTTTTTGATGTTGGTAATGCGAAAGAATAAAAAGGAGTTTTTAAACAAATTCTGGAAATAAAAATATCTTCATTGAAAATCACGAGAAATAACTTTCTTATTTTTCTTTTTAACTTATAAGTTACATTATGTGTAAAATAAAATAATATAGTTATATTTAACATAATCATTATAAAAAACACTTAAAATTTGTGTTTGTTTAACCTTTTAAATGCATAAAATAATTTTCAATCAGACTGCCTTATTAATATTTGTCTTTATTATTACTTTGATCAAGTCACTTGAAATAATGCAAAATTAACAGTTGCTAGGCATTTCAGGCGTTACTATCAGCCAAATAAAAAATATATAGTACCACTACACTTGTATTATAAAAATTACTCAATGTGGTAGTTATGGAAGAAATTTGATAAAGTGATTACTTTTTTCCAAGTTATATTAGTTATGGTCAATAAAGTATGTGGTTGCTATGCAGTTTTGGTATCCTTAGCTACCTAAAATCATCATATTAACATTAATCCTCAAATTAGTAATCAATGCAAAAATAATCATCAAGTCATTTAATTATATAACGAGTAATTAGTTTTGTCTAGCAAAACTCCGAAACATGAACCTTGACGAACAAGTTCGTCAAGGTTTGTGTTTGAGAGTTAGGAAGTTGAAAAAGGGTTGAAACCACAACTAAAGTAACCTCGTCGACTGCAGTGTCTTTCATGGCTTTGGAGAGGTGAAACAAAGTATATATAAAAAAGTGAGTTCTGGCTCACTGTGCAGAAGAACATTAACACAAAGTTTTGAGAAAGTATATATCAATAATTTATAAAAGTCTTTATTTAAACTTGGGTTCGGAACTTATGCGCATATCGGCAAAGATATGCGCATACTATTCAAAGTTATGCGCATAATTATGCGCATAATATGCATACAAATTTACCAGATAAAAGCTATATAAAATTAATTAAATATTGTCAAACATAGAAAAAAATATTTTTTAAATCAAACGCAGGTGACCTTAAATTGAAAAAATACAATTTTTTACTCGATTTTTTGTAATTAATTTATTTATAAATATTTCAAATTAAAACTTCTGTTATGGATGTAACTCTTTATTAATTTTTATACAATATTTCAAGGGATTATTGATACCCTCGTTGTCAAGTATATAAATATATATAAAAAACCGTTAAATACAAAACAAAAACAAAAACAAATCAATGCAATAGTTTCTTTTCATTTAAATATCGAAACGTAGGTTTCCAAAAGGAAGTTGTGACGTAACCTCCGTCGTCCTGATTTAGACCGCCGTCTGAAGGTGAGCATTCATGGCGCTGTATTTCAAGCGCTTCCCTCACCTTTCTGTTAAAATGATTAACCTCTACTTTAAAGGTATTTTTATTGTTCCATGTAAAATTGCCATGACAATTTTTTGAATGCTCCGCTATGGCTGAGTAATCCCAATTTCCTTCGTATGTATTTTTTTGATATTGGTAAATGCGAGATGAGATTTTTAGTTTTGTTTCACCGATATAACATATAATAGAAGGAGCATTCAAGTTTGTACACACCTGGGTAAGAATTTATAGGAAGAGGAGGTTTTTTTTTGGAGATTTAAAAACTGGTGTATAACCTTCTTTTTTGAAAGCTTTTTTTAACTTCGGGCTAATTCCTGGAATTCACGGTAAAGATACAATATTTTTTGATGCAATTGATGAATGTTGAGTTTCAATATTTTGTTTTTTAATATGTAAATTTCTTTAAGTGGTTTTTATAATATGTTCCAGGTTTGTTTCTTTATAACCATTTCTTACAAAAACATCAACTAGAAATAATAACTCTTGTTCAATATTATTATCAGAGCATAAATATAATGCCCTATGAACAAAATCTTTGAAAATTCCGTTTATAATTTTTGGATCATGGCATGAGTTAGGTTTGACTTGGACATTAGTTAAGGCATCTTTACGGTAAACTTTAAAATCGTACGTACCAGTTTTATTGTTAATAATAGTAACATCAAGAAAGTTTAGCGTGTTATTTTCATTTTCGATTTCCATAGTGTACTGAATATTTTTATGTTGGTTATTAAGTAGTATTAAAAATTTTTTCGCATCTTCAGTAGAGTTAAAACGAGAATGGGAGTCATCGACATATCTTTTAAATGACTTTAATTGAATATTATTGGAAATTGCTTGTGCAATAGCATTACTTTCGTGAAACTGCAAAAAACACTCCGCAATTACTACCATAAGTCCTAAACCAATAGGTCCAGAATCTTCTAGTTCATAAATGTCATGTTCAAATAAAAAATTACAATGCAAAAGGCATATATCTAAAAGTGTTTTTATTTCTTCAAAGGTAAATTTTGATGTAAAACTAGAATCATTTTTCAACCTCTCAATAAGGATAATTATCGCTTCCTTTACCGGGACTGAAGGATATAAATTAATGATATCATAAGATTGGATTTCATCTTTGTCAATATTCCATGAATTAGCTAGGTTAACAAATTGTTTGGAGTTTTTTAAATGTGTACTGTTCTTGTTGAGGATGGGTTGTATCATATCAGTTAAGAATTTAGAAATTTTGTATGTAGCCGTTCCAATAGTGCTTACGATAACTCGCATCGAGTAGTTTTTTTCAGGTTTGTGGGCTTTTATGACTCCATACAAACGAGGTGGTATAACATCACTCGGATAAAGATCTTTATATTCTTTAATCGTAAATCGACCTGCTTTATTTAGTTTTCTGAGTGTGTTTTGAACTTTACGAATGATTTGTGGAGTTGGGTCTAAACTTTGTGAAGATTCTATACGAACATTTGTTAACGACAAACATGATTTTCAAACTATAATAAATGTTACCAATAACTCTTATGAACGAATGTTTATAAAATCTAGAGAAAAATTTAAAGAAAAATTTGAAAAGTTATCTCAAGAAAAGTTGCTACATAAAGAAAAGTTACTACATAAACAAAACAATAACAATAACAACAACAACAACCATGAAAAACCAATTAAAAAAGTTAAAGAGGTAACACTTAATTTAGCTAATTCTGATATACCAATGCATCATAATATCATAATGCATCAGATGAGAAGTTTTAATTTAATGTCTTTTAAATTTTATAAATATTTCATATTATTTTCAGGACTTTTCAACCAAGTTCTATATCACAAAAACTTAACAATTAAATTTATTTTTGAATTAAATTTGCTTATTTAAAATTTCTTCACATTCAAACTCGCTGAGAACTGCTACTTCCTCTAAAATGTAGTTTTTGTTGTTTGTATTCATCAAAACACTATTGGTATCAAAACTGTTTGTATCCAATCAAAACACTATTGGTATATATGAAAACTAAATTTTTTACGCGTTCGTTTGTCAAGAGATTTCTAAATCGTCAATAAATTTATCGAAAAATTGAAAAAAGTTCTTTCTGCTTTAGCTGACAAACAAATCATTTCAATAATAGATTTTGCAACTTTAAAGACTGGACTGTTTTCATATAATAGGGGAGTGGAGAGAAGTGGAACAGCCTGAAATTTCTAATTAAGAGTGGTACCTAAATACTGTTATTTAATGTAAAAAATTAAATTTAATCTCCTCTATATATCAGAAATTGATTTGTTTCCTCGCGTGCGCTAAAAGCTTAAATTTTGAAATGTACCTTAAAAAAATGTTTACATTGGGGTGAAGTGAGACAGAAAAAAAAAAAATTATAATTATAAAATAATTATAAATCTATCTTTCCAAGAGTTTGAAAGCTCTTAAAAAACAAATTAACCGAAGCAGATGACATAAACGGTAATATAGTCAAATATACATTTTAAATACTTCAAAGATATCCTATTTAAAGTCTATGGAGCATCTATGCACCAAAGAGTTTTTCCTGAACAACTAAAAATTGCTAAAGTTGTTCTAATTTTAAAAGAAGGTGATCAAACAAATATCCTTAATTATCGTCCAATCACTTTCCTCTACACATTTTAAAAAATACTAGAACGTTTTATGTACAATAGATTATACAATTATCTTCAATGGAATCTGATAAACGTGGGTTGACTATTCAATAGCAGTTAAAAATATTTGTTTGATATAAGTTTATTATATCAAACAAATGAAATTGGCGTGAAACTTAATTTTAAGTTTTTTGCTTGTAGAACTTTTTCTAATATAGTTTTTGAATCATAAATATTAAATATAGTTTTAAAAAACGTGGTTTTGTCATTATATATTATTTAGAAGTTTATTAAAATATTTATTGACAATTTTAAAGAGCCATTAGATCTTTCCCCAAATATACGTAATTTAGGAGTTGATAAATTAATTATGGAAAGATTTACTTAATGAAATAAAAAATACTAAAGAAATTTGCAAAGAAAATTTAAATAAAGTAAAGCTTGTTTTTGTTACATTTATTTCAAAGATAAAGAAAAAACTAAAACAAAGTGGACAAAACTATGACACATTTATACAAAAAGAAAATTGTTGGCTTTAAAGAAGTCTTATGAGCAATGAAAAATACCATTTTGGTTTTAGAAGGCCCGATAAAAAATGAAGTGTTCTTGAAGAGCGAAGCAAAAAAGAAAAAATAAAAGAACTAGCCACTGATTATCATGAAACTCTATTTTTAGCTTCTGCAAAAATTGCAAATGCTGCTGGAGAAAAAAAAAAGCCTCTATTTTAAAAAACAATATATCTAATGTTTTAGAGATAGAAAAAGTTGATGAAACTTTGGATAAAACCTTTCCCATTAATAAGAGTGTAGAGGAAGCTCTTGCATTAAAAATGCATACTGATCTCAGCGGATGATATGGATGGTTAAGCGCCAAACCTGCCTATACAACAAAATTGAAAAAAATGAGTTTATATTAAAAAAAAGATTTATGTAGTGTTTTTTTGCTAACACCAATATACTATGATTAAAATTTTTAAGTTTTGCACTTAACTGCAAATACTTTAAAATTTTTCGGTCTAGTGGTTTTTGATTTCATGTTACTGATTGTGTTAAAGACGTCGTAACTTACTTTTACCGGTACTTTCCAAGTCAATCTAGTTGTTTGAAAGTTATTTTGAAAGATGTTTTTTGACCTATTTGATAGAATTAAAAATAACTCAAAAAGCACATGCCAAATAATGAATGAAATTAGTGGTAGACAAAAAAGATGCTCAGGTTCCCACCCCAAACGAATATAGTTGATAACAAACATAAATGCGAACCATATATAGCTCATGAATTTAATAAACTCTTTGTTGAAATTGTTCCAAAACTAGCAAAAAAAAATTTTTTATACAAGTGCAACATTTAGAGATTTTTGATTACAAATGGATAATTGTACTATCTTCTGAACTATCTTCTGAACTATCTTCTGAACTATCTTCTGAACTATCTTCTGAACTATCTTCTGAACTATCTTCTGAACTATCTTCTGATCTATCTACTGAACTATCTTTCCAAGAGTATGAAAGCTCTTAAAAAAAAAATTAACCAAAGCTGATGACATAAACAGTAATATAGTCGAAGAATATTTTAAATACTTTAAAGATATCCTATTTAAAGTCTATGGAGCATCTATGCACCAAGGAGTTTTTCCTGAACAACTAAAAATTGCTAAAGTTGTTCTAATTTTAAAAGAAAGTGATCAAACAAATATCAGTAATTATTGTCCTATCTCTTTCCTCTACACATTTTAAAAAATACTAGAACGTATTATGTACAATTGATTATACAATTATCTTCAATGGAATGTGATAAACGTGGGATGACTGTGCAATAGCAGTTAAAAATATCTGTAAAAACCAACTTGGAATAGGCGATGATATAGTGATTGAGCGAGTCCATTAAAAAAGAAGAATTTAAGACAATCTACCAAAACAATAGTCCTTAAACTCCTAAATTGTAATGATAAATACGAAATTTTAACTTGAAAAAACTTAAAAGCACTGCACTTTTTACCAATAAAGATTAAACAAAAGAAACCCTGGGAAATTGTAAAAAAATGTGGAAAGAAATTAAAAGGCATCATAAATTTTTGTTAAAGATATGCATAAATAAAATAACAAGTCGGGGAAATAGAAGGAGATTCTATAACTCCCACAGGAACGGCTCAAGTTAGCGATTTTAAACACCAAGCTTTTTATTTTGATAAAATGAAAACTTTATTAGATATAAATATAGAAAAGACGCAAATGAAATAATAATTTATGCTAATGAAATAATAGTTTTATAAATAATAATTTTCATGATGTAAATAATGATTGCTTTTACTATTATTCTAGTGAAAAGGATCTCTTTTTAATTCCAATAATGGCGAACAAATTAAAATCCTTCCTATAAATATAATAAGCATAGTCACAACTTTGAAACGCTTCTTTACTTATTAGGATAAACTAAATATGTTTTTAATATTATTTATTTAACTTTGATAAGATATTGCGTTTTAAATAATAACGCGAATTTTTTAAAATTAGACATATGGCAAAAATGAAAAAAGACATTATTAAACATTTTTTGGTGGAAATGTATAAAAGTGACTATGGTCCATCTTATCCACGTGTTTTTTTAGGATACGACCTTTTAATTTTACTTAAAATTAATCAAAAATACATAAAAAACGTCTGATAATTGTAAATAAATGTTTAAAAATCTATCGAGTAATTTTTCCTAAGTGTAACTAGTGTCCTTAAAATAATTTTTTTTACAATATTTTTGACAATCTTGTCAGCACCCATGACATAAAAGCAAATTTATCAGCTCTCTACGTTCTGAATGTATATCGAATGTATATTCATAATGTCTTCAAATTGAAAACGCTACATTGTCTATATAAAATCATCCACTTAGAGTAAAACACGCCGTTTTTGCTCATAAAATCTATGTATTTATATTTTTATATAATTTAAATCAAAATTAACAGTTTTAATAGTTAGTTTCATACATTTAAACAAAAAAGTCTAAATGCATATAAAAATTAAGTTGGATCAATTGATCCAGTTTGTGGTTTCTAGGTATATAAAAACCTGGGGCTTCTAGTGTTAAAGTTATTCTGCCACACTGTGTGACGATTTGAGCACGAGAACCTAAGCTCGGAATTTAATCTTTAAGCTTTTTAAAGAAAATGTTATCAAAATAGTCCGTTTTTCAAAACGCCTTAAAAAAAGATACTGCAAATTGTTTTTTTTTAAGGCGTTTTGAATAACGTCATTAATGAAAAAAAAATTAATTAATTGTCTAACTGATACTCTATATCGTTAAACTCAGCTACATTGACAACATTATTACAAATTAAGTCTTCAATATACAAGAAGGTTTATTGAAAGCAGGTATATCTGATCATTTCCAAACATTTCTATCATTCAACTCAAATAATAAAATTATAACTAAAACTAATAATAAAATAAGTAAGCGCATATTTAATATAAACAATATTGAAAAGTTTAAAAAACAATTATCAGGGCCGTAGAGAGAAGAAGGAGGAGGGCACAGGAAAACACGTGTTCCCTCCACCTCGTCCAATTTGCGTTTTTTAAATGTTGAAATAGAATATTTACTTGAATAATAAAAATTAGAGTTGCTTAATAAAAGTTAAAAAATCGGAATATTCATTTAATTTAATAGTTATTTCTGTCAATACAACTGCTTTCTTAAATTCTCCTGCATTTGTCGAATTCTGAAATGAGAGTTCTTAATACTTCAAACTTAATATTTTTAATATTTTAAGTTTTGTATAAACATGTAAAAATAATTTTTTTCCTGCCGTTTTTAATGATTTAATTACCTTGAAACCTGCCATGGAATATTCTCTAAGAAATACCAACCTTCCGTATGAGCCTTTTTGTCGAACAAGTTTTACCCATTTTGCATTGGTTACCGTGCACCCCATTTTTTGAATAAAGATGTTTTACCTAATTTTGATTTTAATCTACTTTTTTCCATCTTTTTAAAGTTAAGCTGAAAAATCTTTTACTATATCATATTATCAATAATTTAACAGCAATATTTATATTATGAAAACATTTATTAAACTTTACTAACTACACTAAAAAGTTATATGTGTATGTATATATTATTTTTTATATTATTTTATTATACTGCAGTTATATTTATAGTTACTTTATAATCTAATATTTTATCTACACTAGTATAGTATAAGGTTCTGACGATAAGATCTTACTGCGCTTCTTTCAGATACTTCTCTAAATTTTTTTTTAGCAGATAAAAACTGTTAATGTTTTAACTTGTTTTTTGGTACCAACATATGTAATAATATGTTATTTATAATATAATATGTTATTTAATAATATAATATGTTATTTACTTTTTGTCATAAAACTGTTGCCAAAATAAATATTAAAAAAATTTCTATAAATTTTGAACTTAATGGGACATTAATAATCATTTTTATAGTTTGCGCCAACATACTCTGGGGTGAAGAAAGTTAACAATTTTTTTTTTTTAGAGGTACTTAAAATGCCCTATGAAATTTTTTTTTTTAATAAATGCAAATTTAAAGTGTTACTTAAACTCATACTTTTAAAAACCGTTATTTAATATTTACAAAAAATATTTTGCCGTTATGACTACAGAGTTCTAAAAGTTAAAACAGAGGTAATTAGCTCCGGTCTTTCCTTGGTTATTTTAAATTATTTTTGTTTAATAGTTTCAAGCCTTTTAAAGGATTCATATATTTTTTGTAACTTTTGATGATAAATAATCAACATGAGTTTTCCATGACAGATTTTCATCAAAATAAATAATAAGGAACTTTATAAAGGAACCTTTTTTAATTTCTACTCTACCGATAAAAATAAGATAACTCTTTAAGCAAAATACGTTTTTTTGTTAAGGAATCAATAAGGTCATTTTAATGCAACTGAACCAGGTAGAAATTTTTACAAAATCCTTATTCAAACTCAAAAAAAGTTTGATTATGTCTTTGTCTGAAAAATTTAAATTGGTATCGTCAGCAAACACCAAGCTCATTAGATCCAAAGCTTTATTATTTTAATCATTTGAGCGTTTGTGAATAACTCAAAAATTGAAAACTTTAAAAATAATATCGCTCAAGTTTTCTTAGCAATCTATAATTGTTTCTTCAGTAACTTCTTTCGCACACTTTTGTTTCTTTTTATAGATTAAAAGGCTTTTTCAACTTTTTTTGATAAATCTAGAAATAATTCATGTTAAAAAAACGATTCATTGGTTGATTTTAAAAATTGATTAATGGAAATATTAAAATAAGGAAACCTAATATCAAAAATACTTTTGATGTTTGTAAATTATTTATTATTTCATTTTATTTCACGTTGTTTATTTTATTACTTTTTTGTAGGATACTTAAGCAAGTTTTTTGTTTTTCTATTTTTTTGTATATATTCTTCATAATTGTTTTGAGTCATTTTTATAAATCTTTTGTTTAAGAAAAAAGAGTTTACTTTTTTAGATTGTTTGCTTACTTAAATCCATATATTGTAATACAAACAATATACGGACCATCTATAAGCGCTAAAAGTTTTCTAAAATAATTTTTAAAATGAGGGCAAATGAAATAAGTGTTAACAAAATATTTACGAAACGATTTTTTAGTAAATTATTATACTATTTATTTGAAGGTAAAAAAATTGCAAAACTTCATAAATTTAAACTGTAAATCAAATAAAGTTCAGCACAAACTTCAATTTAAATAAATTTTAAATTAAATTAAAAAAACTATACTGACCAACAAACAGAAGGGACTAACTTTGTTGGCTTTACTTGTTGTTCTATTGGTTATCCAAGTAAAAAAACTTTTAAAAATTAAAATTTTTTGTTTTGAGAAAGATGACTAAGTAAGGTAATGCTAAATAACAGAGAAAGAATAAATTAGATTACTTTTAAATTTAATAGAGATTTTCAATGCAATTTTATTTTAACTCCAAATTTAAAACATTTTATTTTTATATGCCAATAATTATCTTTATAATCAACCACAACTCATGCTTAATAATCAATTACGATTATATATAACGACGTTAATGTTTATCTTCGACGTCACCTTTATTGTATTTTCTTTTGAATTGAGCCTTAAATATTTTTATTGAGTTTATTTCACCATGAAACTTTGGAATAAGGAATATTTATTGAAAATCGCTTCATAACTATTTTGCTTGAACGATTGCTCTTATTTTAAAGCTATTTTAGAATTTTTCTGAAAATTTCTTGCGGTTTCTATTAGCCACAAAACAAACGATATCAAAATAATATTTTTTCATGAACTTATTTCAAAAATGTAAATATATATATATATATATATATATATATACATATATATATATATATATATATATATATATATATATATATATATATATATATATATATATATATATATATATATATATATATATATATATATATATATATATATATATATATATATATATATATATATTAAGGCAATTTCATAAAAATAAAGAAAACAAAAAAATGAAA